GAAAAATAAATCTGTTCTTTTTTATAAAAGMCTAAATAAAACAAAAATATTGGTGGTAATTTTTGACTGTGTAACTTTACAAATGGCACCCATAGACTTTGCGTTAACCTTCATTAATTCACTGGTTATTTCTAAAGCCTAACCCCTGACTCACCAACAGTATTTACCTCAGTGAGGACCAGGCTTTTGTCCCCATAAGGAACAGTGGGTCCTCAGCAGGCTGTTGGTACCAGGAAACTGGTCAAAAATCCTCCCCACCTACCAAGTAAATTGCACAGTCTTGTTTTTTTATGTGTACATTGTAAGCATGTCAAATGACTACAATTTGTAATAAACCTAGTAAATAAAGTTGTGGGAAATAAAAAAAAAATCCTCCCCACCAGGTAGCAAAAACAAACTGTTTTTGGTAAACTCAGTTGTATAAAACAATATTTGTGTGGTTTTGTTGATGGAGCCACAGCTCTGCTCTGATAAGGAGAGCACCGGCTGAAGGCCACCTCCTGACCTGACCTGGCTGCAGGCCTGTGTACTCTGGCAGCTGTTTGTGGGATTGAAACTGACGTGTTTCTGATAAGTAGCTGCTTTGTGACAGTGCCACGTTGTCAAACATACCTGGTCCTGCCTGGCTGTCTCACAGACCTGCAGCAGGACCCCTGACTGCAGACATGGCGGGACTCAACGCGTCTCTGGGATACTTCCTGGCCATAGTGGTGTCTGTGGCCTCGGTCCAGATGCTGCTCAGAAAGCATCCGCGGCTCAGCTCGCTGTTGGAGTTGGCCTCGTCGTTCATGCTGGTGGCGTGCCGGCTGGAGGTGCAGACCATAGTGGAGGTGGGCGAGTGGGCCGGGGGTCTGGGTCCTGATGTGACTGTGACTATGCTGTTTGTGGTGCTGCTGACTCACGGTGTGATCTGTGGTGGAGCTTCAGGGAATCCCAGCCTGGTGCTGCAGCAGTTCCTGCAGCTGGAGACCCCCACCCTGCCCACCCTGCTTGCAGTTGCAGCCCAGTTTGTGGGCGCTRACCTGGCCCTGCTGGCAGCCGGCTACTACTGGAGCCTGGAGCTGACGGACATGCACCTGATCAAGAACCTGATGTCCGCTTCCTGCAGCACGTCCCTGCTGGTCCCGGTGGTCCAGGGCTTTATGACCGAGTGTGCCTGTGCACTGGTTTTTCATCTGGTTCAGTTAAACCTGCGACACAGGTCTGCTCTGATCAGGGTCCCTCTGACCGCAGTCCTGCTCACGTTCTTGTCCCACACAGGTGAGGTTTGATGTGCCTTTAGTTTCTGCAGACTGTCAGAACTGTTCAACATGCTCCCTTTGTGTTGTCCAGCCCGAGGATTCACCTCAGCTTTCATCAACCCAGCTGTGGCGTACGGACTGACCTTCCACTGCCCTGGATTCACTCTCACAGAGTACACATTGGTGTACTGGCTGAGCCCCCTGACAGGTAACCCCCTACTGACACTGAGCCCCCTGACAGGTAACCCCCCACTGACACTGAGCCCCCTGACAGGTAACCCCCCACTGACACTGAGCCCCCTGACAGGTAA